ATAAATGATTTTCAACTGTTATCAGACACTTGAGCTTTTATATCTTGAGACTAAGGATGTTATTGGACTCCTTCATTAATCAGGCCTCCATACTGCCATGTAGGGTGCAAATCCAATGTTCCCACCTGGCCTCCTCTGACACCAGGAGAAAGGGCCGAGGTTTCTTCTTCACTCATTATGTGGGTGGAAATGTGGGCTGCTTAAGGTGTGGAAAGGATTGGTCTGAAGTTTCTGCCATCATGTTTTTCTAGACTAAATCAGTACAGTTCAGTCGCTCAGTTGTGTCTGACTCTTTGCAACCCCATGGACTGCAGCACACCAGGCATCCCCAACCATCACCAACTCCCAGAGCTTAACTAAACTCATGTCCATCAAGTTGGTGATGCCATCCTACCATCTCACCCTCTGTTTTCACCTTTTCCTTCCACCTTCAATCTTTGCCAGCATCAGGGTTTTCTCCAAAGAGTCAGTTATTTTCATCCGGTGGCCAAAGTATTGGAGCTTCAGCTTCATCATCAGTCCTTCCAATGAATTTTGAGGACTGATTTCCTTTAGGATTGACTGGTTCGATCTCCTTGCATTCCAAGGGACTCTCAAGAGTCTTCTCCAACAACACAATTCAAAAGCATCAATTTTTCTGTGCTCAGCTTTCTTTATATTCCAGCTCTCACATCCATACTTGACGACTGGAAAAATCATAACTTTCACTATATGGAATTCTGTTGGCAAAGTAATCTCTGCTTTTTAATATGCTGTCTAGGTAGGTCATAAATTTTTTCCAAGGGGCAAGTGTCTTTTAATTTCATGGCTGCAGTCACCATCTGTAGTGATTTTGGAGCCCCAAAATTAAAGTCTGTCACTGTTTCCATTGTTTCCCCATCTATTTGCTATGAAGTGATGGGACCGGATGCCATGACCTTAGTTCTCTGAATGTTGACTTTTAAGCTAAATTTTTCACCCTCCTCTTTCACTTTCATCAGGAGACTCTTTAGTTCTTCTTCACTTTCTGCCATAAGGGTGGTGTCATCTGCATATCTGAGGTTCTTGATATTTCTCCTGACAATATTGATTCCAGCTTGTGTTTCATCCAGCTTGGAATTTTGCATGATGTACTCTGCATATAAGTTTAAGTAAGCAGGTGACAGTATACAGCCTTGCTGTACTCCTTTCCTGATTTGGAACCAGTTTGTTCTTCCATGTCTGATTCTAACTGTGGCTTCTTGACCTGCATGCAGATTTCTCAGGAGGCAGGTCAGGTGTTACCATCTATTTAATTTCCACCGTTTGTTGTGATCCACACAGTCAAAGGCTTTGGTGTAGTCAATAAAACAGAAGTGGATTTTTCTTTTTTTGTGGAACTCTCTTGCTTTTTTGATGATCTAGCAAATGTTGGCAATTTGATCTCTGGTTCCTCTGCCTTTTCTAAATCCAACTTGAACATCAGGAATTTCATGGGTCATGTGATGTTGAAGCCTAGCTTGGCGCAGTTTGAGCATTACTTGACTAGCGTGTTCAGTTCAGTTCAGTTCAGTTGCTCAGTCGTGTCAGACTCTTTGCGACCCCATGAATCACAGCATGCCAGACCTCCCTGTCCATCACCAACTCCCGAAGTTTACTCAGAACTCATGTCCATCAAGTCAGTGATGCTATCCAGCCATCTCATCCTCTGTCGTTCCCTTCTCCTCCTGCCCCGAATCCTTCCCACCATCAGGGTCTTTTCCAATTAGTCAACTCTTCGCATGCTAGCGTGTTAGATGAATGCAATTGTAGAGTAGTTAGAACATTCTTTGGGATTGGAATGAAAACTGACATTTTGCAGAGCTGTGGTCACTGCTGGATTTGCTGGCATATTGAGTACAGCACTTAAAGAGCATCATCTTTCAGGATTTGAAATAGTTCAACTGGAATACCATCACCTCCACTAGCTTTGTTCGCAGTGATGCTTCCTAAGGCCTACTTGACTTTGTATTCTAGGATGTCTGGCTCTAGATGAGTGATCACAGCTTCGTGGTTATCTGGGCCATGAAGATCTTTTCTGTATAGTTCTGTGTATTCTTGCAACCTCTTCTTAATATCTCCTACTTCTGTTAGATCCATAAAATTTTTGTCCTTTATAGTGACCATCATCGCATGAAATGTCCTTGGTATCTCTAAGTTTCTTGAAGAGATCTCTAGTCTTTCCCATTCTATTTTTTTCCTCTGTTTCTTTGCACTGATCACTGAGGTCAGTTTTCTTATCTCTCCTTGCTATTTTGAAAGTCTGCATTCAAATGGTTTTACCTTTCCTTTTCTCTTTTGCCTTTAGCGTCTCTTCTTTTCTCAGCTCTTTGTAAGGCCTCCTGAGGCAACCATTTTGCCTTTTTACATTTCTTTTTATTGGGGATGGTTTTGATCCCTTCCTCCTGTACAAAGTCAGGAATCACTGTCCATAATTGATCAGACCTTCTGTATTATCAGATCTAATCCCTTGAACCTATTTGTGTCTTCCACTCTAATCATAAGGGATTTGATTTAGGTCATGCCTGAATGGCCTAGTGGTTTTCATATCTTTCTTCAATTTAAGTATGAATTTGGCAACAAGGAGTTCATGATCTCAGCCACAGTCAGCTCCCAGTCGTGTTTTTGCTGACTGTAGAGAGCTTCTCCTTCTTTGGCTGCAAATAATGTAATCAATCTGATTTCAGTATTGACCATCTGGTGATGTCCATGTGTAAAGTTTTCACTTGTGTTGTTGGAAGAGGGTGTTTGCTATGAGCAGTGTGTTCTCCTGGAAAAACTCTGTTACCTTTTGCTCTGCTTCATTTTGTACTCTAACGCCAAATTTGCCTGTTACTCCAGGTATCTCTTGACTTCCCACTTTTGCATTCCAGTCCCCTATAATGAAAAGGAAATCTTCTTGCATGTTAGTTCTAGAAGTCCTTGTACATCTTCAGAAAGCCATTCCACTTCAGATTCTTTAGCATTACTATTCAGGGCATAGATTTGGATTACTGTGCTTGTCAATAGTTTGGCTTGGAAATGAATAACAATCATCTGTCATTTTTGAGATTGCATCCAAGCATTGCACTTCAGTCTGTTTTGTTGACTATCATGGCTACTACATTTCTTCTTATGGATTCTTGCTCACAGTAGTAGATATACTGGTCATCTGAGTTAAATTCACCCATTCAAGTCTATTTTAGTTTGCTGATTTTTAAAATGCTGATGTTCACTCTGCCATCTCCTGTTTGACCACTTCCAATTTGCCTTGATTCAGGGACCTATCATTCCAGATTCTGATGCAATATTGCTGTTTACAGCATCAGATTTACTTCCATCACCAGTGACACCCACATTTGGATGTTGTTTTTGCTTTTTCTCCATCTCTTCATTCTTTCAGGAATTATTTCTCCATTGATCTCCAGTAGCATATTGGGCACCTACTGATGTGGGGAGTTCATCTTTCAGTGTCCTATCTTTTTGCCTTTTCATACTGCTCATGGGGTTCTCAAGGCAAAAGTGCTGAAGTGATTTATGCCATTCCCTTCTTCAGTGGACCACTTTTTGTCAGAACTCTCTACCATGACCTGTCTGTCTTCAGTGGCCCTATACAGCATGTCCAGTGATTCACGGAGTTATACAAGGCTGTGGTCAGTGTGATCAGATTGCTTAGTTTTCTGTGGCTGTGGTTTTCATTCTGTCTGCCCTGTGATGGATAAGGACAAGAGGCTTATGGAAGCTTCCTATTGGGAGTGACTGACTTAGGGGGAAGCTGGGTCTTGGTCTGATGGAAGGCCATGCTCAGTAAATCTTTAGTCCAATTTTCTGTTGATGAGTGGGGCCATGTTCCCTCGCTCTTTTTGACCTGTGGCCAAAAATGGTGGAAATAAGGAAGATAATGGCGACCTCCTTCAAAAGGTCTTATGCATGCACTGCTGCACTCAGTGCCCCCAAACCTGCAGCAGGCCACCACCAGCCCATGCCTCTACTGAAGACTCTTGGACACTGACGGACAAGTCTGGTCAGTCTCTTGTGGGATCTCTGCTGCTTTCTCCTGGGTCCTGTTGGGCACAAGGTTTTGTCTGTGCCTGTTGAGAGTCTGTCTCCACAGTCCTCTGTAATTTCTGGCGGCTCTATGGTGGAGTTAATTGCCACCTCCTCCAAGCAGGCTTATGCCATATCCAGGTCTACTGCACCCAGAGCGCCTGCCCGTGTAGCAGTCCACTGCTCACCCGTACTTCTGCAGGAGACACTTAGACAGAGATCTGGCTTAGTCTCTGTGGCATCTCTGGGTCCTGGTGCACACAAGGTGTATTTCTAGACTAAGTCAGTATTGTGAAAACTGTTTATGTCTTGCTAGGCTACTATTTTCTGGGCCTTTTCTTGAAAAGATCAACTTCTTCATGAGACTTTTTATCTTTCTGAACTTGTATTATTTCTGGGTTGCAGTCTCAGGGACCTATTCAGGATTCATAGAAGGCAAAATGAAAACCCCAAGGACTCTCATCATCGTAACTCTTTGAATCCCAATGTCCCTAAGCAGATTGACTTACTCCTTATTTCATAGTCTCCTGTGTTGGCTTTTATAATATGGTCAGGACCTTTATTTGGCAGAAGGAATACTTAGCAGACACTGTAAGCACAAATATTTTTACCTCATCCTGTCCAGAAATGGAAGCCAAAATTTCCTTTCACAGACACTGCAACATGTTGTATAAAAAGGTAATTTTTAAAAAAATCTTAACTATTCATCTTTCCAGCATATATTCTAAAATAAAACATGTTTGAACATCAAGACACTGAAAAGCAGACTTATTTGTTAAAGTACTATATGTGCTTCCATGGTGGTAAAATAAGGTCTTAAAAATGTGTATTTGTGATTAACTGATTAAAATTCCTTCTATAAATCATTTCTGTCATCAGAAATCATAAGTTTTGATATGACATATTTGCATTTTTATTTTATTCCTTTAAAATTGTAGGGGTGGTCTTTGAATAAAGCAAACGCCATTATTTTTTAGACCCTCAAGGAAAATGTGGGCCTCCTCCACCAATAGACAACGGAGACATTACCTCACTCCTGCAATCAGTGTATCCTTCAGGAATGATTGTTGAGTACCGGTGTCAGGCCTACTATGAACTTCGGGGAAACAGAAACGTAGTATGTCGGAGTGGAGAGTGGTCAGAAATACCAAAATGCTTAGGTAAACTTCTCTTGAATCCTGGGATAATGCTTATACTCAGCATGATGTTTAACTGTTTATAATAGAGTTTTTCTGGATTAAATAACAACCACTCTGTTGCATGCTTGACCACCAAGTATTAATATCTGTATATAGAAATAAAGTTAGAAAATTTCATGTTCAAGCAACAATGGCTCCTTTATGAAAGCTCTTCAACAACTGACATTATGGATATTTCATTATAACATTTAATGATTACACTAAACGAAGTATCACATTCTTATAACATTAATTCTGTTAATATGATGATACCTACATTATACACTTTCATTGTATTGGTTTGGAAAAGGTTTGAGGAAGAAGTTTTGAACCAAACTTCTTGAAACCCTGAAATTCTCTAGAAAAGACTTGCATATTACTCAAAGGTTCATGTTTCTTTTCTTTAACTGTAGAGGCATGTGTAATTTCAGAAGAAGCAATGAGAAAACATCACATACAGTTAAAATGGAAAGACGATACAAAACTTTACTCTAAAACAGAAGATAATATTGAATTTATGTGTCAACGTGGTTATCGCCCAGTGTCACCAGATCATACATTTCGAACAACTTGTCGGGAAGGAAAGGTGGCGTATCCTAGCTGTGGAAAATACATTGGCTAAATGCGTTTGTAAAATTGACATATGTACATGTATTCAGATTTCTCCTCATTAATTCAGTTCTGTTTATTTTATCAAGTATGTTTTAACTCATCTTGAATCATAAATCAGATTTGTGTTAATTATTATGGGGACAATGCAGTTGAGAGATGGGAAACCAATGAATCACTTCTTAAAAGTACCTCATTAAACTTGGCAAATCAAAATGTTATGTGTCCTGTTCTTGAGACATTTACAGCAAGACATTAGATTCAATCACTTCCATGCCTCCTTCCATCCATCAGTTTACTAACTTTCTTAAAGCTTTCTCCAATACTTCTGAGGCTTTCTGACACTCTGTTTTAGAATACATGGGGAAAACGGTGTGGAAAGAAATGGAAAAATTCAAAATATTGATAATATCACTTAACAAACATATAAAAGCAAAACTATGTCATACTTCTGTCAGTAATTAAATATCAGTAGTTTATCTTACCTTTGCTCATCTATCAATAAATGAATAAACCAAAAATGATGAAATACATAATATTTTCAGTTCAGTTCAGTCACTCCGTCATGTCTGACTCTCTGTGATCCCATGCACCGCAGCACGCCAGGCCTCCCTGTCCATCAGCAACTCCTGGAGCTTACTCAGACTCCTGTCCATTGAGTCAGTGATGCCATCCAACCATCTCATGCTCTGTCATCCCCTTCTCCTTCCTCCTTCAAATTTTCCCAGCATCAGGGTCTTTTCAAATGAGTCAGCTCTTCACATCAGGTGGCCAATATGTTGGAGTTTCAGCTTCAGCATCAGTCCTCCCAGTGAACATTCAGGACAGATTTCCTTTAGGATGGATTGGTGGATCGCGTATTATTTTATAAGATGCTTATCAAAGTACACACAATAATTCAAATAAAGAACAATGAGGATCACATAGCATAACTACTACAACATGGCATATAAGTGATTAAAAAATTCAACATTAAATATAAACACACACATAAAGAGCCTTTGCTTTAAATACTGAATAATTTTTTATTGGAAAGTATTGGCAAGAAAAGTAAGAAAATATTTAGTATAGCTAGAGTTGAATTCGCAGGTAATAGGTGTAAAATGTGTTTAACTTCTTTTTACTTACATGAATTCTTGAATTTTACTGTCTTTAATGTATATCAACTTTGAACCACAAAATATTTTCTAAAATAAAGAAACATGCAAAGTGACACAACATGAGCTTTAGAGATCGATTTGGTAATGAACTCTAGGTCTAGTAACTTTTTCCTGATTTGGCTCGTACAGAGCGTTTTAGAAACCTTCACCACTAGTCTGAAATGTGGTTTTTATGTGCATACATTTTAAACAGCATATTAAGCTTAAATCAGTTAACTATAAACATTTAAAATTTCTAAATATCATAAAAATTTTATTATTAAAACAGAGATATAGTTAATTAAGCTAAAATATTTAAGGTGACATCTTATTACTTTGTATTGCATCAAGTCAAGTGACCTTCTTAGTCTAAGAAGCATGGCCATCACCATTGGTGCTAATTGATTTAAATCTGAATTGCTAGTAACAGTTGGTTTTCTCACCCTTAAATGAAATTGTTACTACAGTTGACAAGTTATCTTTCCTGTAAATGTTAATATTTTTGTAGATATTATTTCTCCAAAATTTTCAACTAATGGTTGCAGAATCTATTTATGACCTGAGGCTGCAAGCAGTTATTTCACTGTTGTCTAGAGAATGGTGATTTTTAAAGATCAGTTAAATCATTTTTCTGCAGTTATTGTCATTCTGTGTAAAGATGAGTGTTAATTTACAGACTCTGTTTATAATCAACTTTCACCTAAAACGTTTTAGCAAATCTTTAAAATAATTTGTTTTTAAATAATTTTTGACATATAGTTGATTTACAACAGTTTCAGTTGTATAACATAGAGATCCACAATTTTTAAAGATTATGCTGCATTTAGAGTTATTGTAAAATATTGGTTATACGTCCTGTGTTGTATGGTATGTCCTTGGAGCTTCTTTATTTTATACATAATACTTAATACCTCTTAATCAAATAGGCCTATCTTGTCCCTCCCTGCTTCCCTCTGCCTTTGGCAACCACTTGCTTGTTATCTGTATCTATGAGTCTGTTTCTGTTTTGTTATATTCATTAATTTTCTTTATTTTTTAGGTTCCACATATAAGAGATGTAATACTGTACTTGTATTTCCCTGTATGACAAATTTCACAAAGAATAATACCTTCCAAGTCCATTCATGTTGTTTAAAATGGCAAAATTTCATTCTCATCTATAGTTACTTGGCCCATAGTGTGTGTGGGTATGTGTGTGTGTGTGTGTGTGTGTGTGTGTGTGTGTGTGTATACACAAACATGCTTAATGCAGTGGTTTTGGGTAAATCTACTATAAAGATAAGAAAAGCATTATATGTTTTTTCACTGTAGTCCTGGTTATTGAAGTTAAGCTAGGGAATAGAAGATTTAACTTTGAGTCATGTTGACCCAAACTGATCTGTTTACACTGAGTAAGGAGTATTAATTTCCTAGCTGAGATGCTTTTGACTAAGCATATTTGAAGATTTTGTTTTTAAAAAGTAGAAAAAGAGCTGTGAAGTCTAACGTATTTCACATGAATCAAGTGTGCAGGGGTGGGAGGTAAAACAGTGGAATTATTTTACAGTTGCCCCTACTATTTCAGAAAGCTAGTTACAAAAAAAAATATTAAAATTTTCTTTACTCTTTTCTCAATTGTACTAAGATATCTAATATTTTTGGAAAACACAGTGAAAAAATATATAAATATGTACCTCTAGGGTATGAAGTTAAGTGAAAGAAAGCATCATCACTTGTGGTACTAAAGAATAGGCAGTGGTCTGGCACCTTAAATAAGTACTAGAGAGGAGAATCTAGATATATTTTGTAAGTCTGCAATGTGAAACACCAGGAGAAAAAGGACTACATACAAGATGGCAAATGTGGAAAAAATAATGAAGAGTGAGTCTAAGGCAGTAACCTGGACGGTAAGAATACAAATTATTTTTTCAATCTTGGTGAAAGGTTATGATTTTCTAAGCTAAAAATGAGATAAGCATGTACTATGTGTGGATCATTACTTGCAAATATGAGAATCTTGAACAAATCTCAGACTTATTTTTTATTTTAAAAACAAATTTTATTGGAATATAGTTGATTTATAATGTGTAATTTCATATGCATTGCAAAGTGAATCAGTTAAAGATATACACTTTTTTTAAAGGCTCCTTTCCCATATAGGCTATAACAGAGTATGCAGTAGAGTTCCCTGTGTTATGCGGTAGGTCGTTATTTGTTGCCTGTTTTATATATAGTAGCCTGTATATGTCAGACTTCTTCTTCTACTTTTTTTTTTAATTAAAGAATTATGAACAGATATTAAACACAGTCAATTCTGTTGGGAGGAAGTGGCCTTATCATCTTACTAAAATGCAAATGATAAATTATACAGCCCAAGTCTAATATCAAGAAGGCAATTTAGGTTTATACTAATGCCTTATGAGAAGTCAATCTTTTAAATACATCAAGAATATTTAAGTGTAAGATCTTTTAGTAACTAAGAAAATATGGAACAAAATAAAATGGTTTCAGAATCACTCTTAAAAATAATTATTTTTAATGAGCAATTCACAAACACAAAATTAAAAAACAAAACTCAAAATACAATGTTCAAATGGCTGATATCAAATTTTTATAAAATGTGTAGTACACAGGGTTGACAGAAAAATGCCATGTTCATTTTTAAATTTTGATATTTGGTATTTGCAGTTATTTTATTAAAAATAAATTACTTTTAGAGTTACATAATTATTTTAAGTTAAATGGAAGAAATAAAGAAGTGTAGTTTTGACATATGAAAAATAAAATCTGACTTTAATCAGGTACTTTGCATACAATAAGCTTTCACTTTTTTAGCACACAGTTCAAGAAATTTTGACAAATGTATACAGTTGCATAAGAATCATTTAATCAAACTATAGGCAGTTGTGCATGCTAAGTCACTTCTGTCGTGTCTGACTCTGTGCGACCCTATGGACTATAGCCTGCCAGACTCCTCTGTCCATGAGATTCTCCAGGCAAGGATACTGGGGTGGGTTGCCATTACCTCCTCCAGGTGATCTTTCCCACCCAGAGATCAAACCAATGTCTCTTACATCTCCTGCATTGGCAGGCAGGTTCTTTACCACTAGCACCATCTGTTCAATAACCCCAAAAGAATCTTTTGCAGACAATCAGCTTCTTTGAATCCTAACCTCTAAGAACCATTAATTTGGCTTCTGTGACTGTAGTTTTGGCTTTTCTGAAATGAACAGCCAGAGCCACAACCTGGGAATA